GGGCTACAACCTCAGCCCCCAGTTCTCTGAGACGTTGGTGCGGCGCTTCACCGTGCAAGGTGGAAGACCCGGCATCCAGCTAGACCGCTTCATCCAGGTGTGCACCCAGCTGCAGAGCATGACGCAGGCCTTCAGGGAGAAGGACACGGGCATGACCGGCCACATCCGCCTTAACTACGAGGACTTCATCTCTGGGGCCATCACCAGGCTCATGTGATGCACTGTGCATTCATTGCATCATTCTATGTTCAGGTCCTATTTTCTCAGTGTTTAATGCTCTACCATAAGTGCCAACACCTGCTGTTTAATACACAGTACATCAGGTAGAATGCATTCTTCCATGGCTTGTGGCTGTATGTATAAAAAGCCTTGAAACCTTGCATTTATTAAGGTGCCCTTACTGGATACTTTTACTTTGTACCTATAGGTTTCTTTTTTGATTGAATAGTTTAACTGACATTCAAGAGAGTACCTGTTTACACATGTTTCATTCTAAAAACTTGAATAGAGAAGGTAGATATTAAGTGAAAAATCATATAATTTCTCTGCTCCTACAGTAGAGTGCCTCCAATCAACTGCTAACAATAATTACGCTGAGTTGCAAATGTATTCCCTCGCATGTTCCTGTTCTATTTAAACAATAGCCTTTTAAATATATGTACATCAGCAATATTCAGCAGGGTATTCCCATGCCATGTTGGCTCATTTCACTGAGCATTGCTTTTTATTGTTATGCATGTAATTAAGCAAATAAGGCCAAACTTTGTTATGTCAGTATTATTCCACTCTCACTTTTAAGTTGAGTGTCAAAGCTCTATAACTACGTGTTTAATAAAATTATGTACTATTACTTTTGCTACATTCCCCTCAAGCAAGCCAGTTTTGACCATTGATTAACAAAATGTCTAGAGATAAGTGACCTGACAAAAGCGTTTCCTATTAAGTTTGCCAATTTCCCCTCAAAGAAATGGGATCTTCGGTGTTTACGGGCCAGTTCTTAAACACATAATGCACTCCACTGAGGTTTATTTTCTGAAATCAGTCATGCCAAAATGGTTCTTAATGCCAAAAACAAATAAATGATTTGATATCACATTTTGATGTGTTCATATTCTTGCTTGATAACCATTCATGTATGTAGTGTTTTAACTGTACGGGTAAGTATTGTGTAAATGCAGCAGTAATACCAATACCACTTTAGACTGTCACCAAGACAAATTCAGCACATTTTTATGAGTTTGGCAAAAGATTTCTTTTTCTGGTCCAAAAAGGAAGAGAAAGTCCTTGAATTGAGGGATATCACTTAAGAATGTATATTTCATCTCAGCAAAAGTGCAGTTTTTAATGAAGTGGACTGTATTTTCTCTAAAAGCCTTCATGGCTAGTAGAAATCCAATCCTTACTCATGACCTTTGACCTGAAATCTCCCAAATTAGTTACTAATTTCTCCCTTGTTGGACAGTTTGGCAAGGCAAAGGACTGTCTGTGTTCCTCTTCCACATCTGGCCTTCTTTCCCTCACCATCTGTTACTCTGCTTGATCACAGTCTGTGTCAAGAGCCCCTCCTGCTCCCCCTCGTCTCTTTCCAAATTCAGAGGCGATCCATCAGATTCTCTTGTGCATCTTTTTTTGGCCATATCTCACTTCCCTCTCCGCTTTACCCCTCGCCCTCCATCTTAAGCTGAGGCTAAACTTAGTCGTGCCAAGTCCTTAAACACTTGTTGTGGCACATTGTGCTTGCAATCCAACACATTCCATAAACAAGGATGTGGTCAAGGGTCTGAACCCTTTTTAAATCATGACGTCATTTTTAGCTCATGTAGAGTGTAGCAGCAGCCTTTTCTCTTTGGTTCATGTGATTGAACCTTTTTGTCATTTCCTGTGTAATGAGGACATTTCCCACCACTGACCATGCCTGACAACTGTGATTAACTTGGGCAGATGGAGCATGTCTGTGTGGCTTCAGTTAGTGAGGAAGCTACGCTGCACTCTGTCAGCCCCACATTGTGATTGGGATTAATTAGATAGTTGTATTTGTTATTAAACTCTTGGCTAGTGCAGCTCTAAATCTCATTTACTAATAAGCAGGAGCTGATGAAATAATCCTGGCAGTGCTAAGGTTGTTGGTGAAGCAGAACTGGCACTAGTAGGGTTGTTTTCCCGCAGGGGGTGAGCACATTTCACTTTATCTGACAGGAATGATCGCATGCCAGTCCTGGCAACTACAAGATGGACAGCATAGAGGGAGGAACTGCTTAAAATAATCATTTTGAAGCATGAAGAATAATCACCCACACAGAATGCAGTTAATCTCAATAATTTCACAAGTCATTTGAACTAATGGTGACTCAAACATTTGGATTTAGCTCAATTTTTTTTTTAACTATCTGCCTCTGCACAAATGACCAATGAGTCAGAACTGGCCATCGCTCCACGACAGACTGCATTGAAATCGCTATAGATCAGCCCTGTGCCCTGCATGGTATAGTTTTGTGAAAAACGTTTGGGCCCCGGAGCTGAAATATCAGTGTCATCAATCATACAGAGCCTTGCAAAGAACACTTACCGATTCACTTCCCAGAAACCACAGTAGCATATTTTCTTCCTTCTATAGTCAATGCTGCAATTTATGGTTTCCCGCTGGGTGGTTGAAATGTACTCAATTTCTCTGCATCCCTCATAAGCAGTTAAAGTAAACAAAAAGCAAAACTTCCATAACTATGACATAAGCCTCTGAAAGTGACTCTGCCTGTACCAAACTGCTCTTTTGAAGGAAACTATCTTTGCTATCTTAAGGTTTGTCGCCCAAGTGGGGCAGTTCATGCCTTGTCACCGTGTCACACAACACTGATGACAGATGTATCAGCCTTTCATGACTATTCCTTGAGGAGGACTGCCATTGATGTTTGGTTTGAACACAGAATGAGATGGTATTTGTTTGTCTTCTAGGAAAAGACAAACATGTGTATGTAATGTTGGTGCACAGCTCTCTTTGAAAGGTAAAGTCACAAAGCACGTGCTTCTGAGGTTGTTTGATTGTAAGGTAAAGATGATGGTAGTGATGGGGTGGTTGGTAGTATGAGTGGGAAGGCATCGATTTTAAGATTAAAACATATTTCGAAAAGCCACAAGAATGGGGAACATTATCCATTTCAAAAGGTATATCACTCAGGGTCCTCTGCAGTTAACAAAACACGTGTGCACCCTCCATTTTCCCAGAGAGTGAACAACACAGACCAACCAGTTTGCTGTCCTCCAAAACATTTAATACCCTGTCACCTGCTGTCTGTGACCAATCAGGGAGTATCGCTGAAATTAGTGCCAGTTTAACCCAGGTAGCATCAATCTTCTTTAATCAGGAGCTAAATAGTAGCTCTCTCAAATGCACCTTGACAAACAAAACTAAACATAAGGTATGTACCCCCTCAAGAGGCATAATCAAAACATACATATTGTTAGTGAAGTTAATAATCGTGAACATTCCCATCTTTGGACCTGAGTCACATTACAATGCATTGCAAATTACCTACAAAAATATTATAGAGGGGGAGTGCAGTCCCCCGCTTCTTAAAGGATCAGACAGGACAGGAAATGAAAGTCCCCATATAGAAATCCTGTGTTCGCAGAAAGACTAGACACAAGTCAAGTTGAGCCTCATACAAATGTCGAACAGATGAGCAATGGGAATGTGCACCTTTTCCCAGCATGCATATAAACGCAAGATATATTACATTGACTTATTGGGAATCACTTTAGAAATGATCCTTTTATATTCTATAAATGGGACCCGATTGAATGAAGTCTGATATCTGGTTTCATTTTCTGCTTCAGTGGATCCACATGATAAGGATCTTGAATACTGTTATATATGTATTGTTGCAATGGATTGGTACCAACCAGCAGCATAAGTCGTTTTAGACATTGTTGGTTTGCTTTGTGTATCCTGAAATAAATGCATATTTTGGCATTTTATCTTAAAGTAATGTACTAAATGTACCACTGGGTGGTGCTAAAACACAAAGCCTTCTTGGTTATACAGTCAATGGTTCAAAGCGACCAGCCAATCCAGATGAACCAGGAAGCAACACACGGACGGACGTGACGTATTTCCACTGCAGCACCAACGTGCTAACGTTAGAGGTGAGTGAAGACTTATGACAGAAAACAATGTTATTATCGAAATATTACAGAGACACACACCACAGTGACTTGTTTCTCATAATCCTAGGGGCTGCACGTTCATCATAACAGTGTCACTCACTGCTCGTATTGAAACCTTACTGTTAATTCAGGGTAGCCGGTCCGTACTGTGTTATGACTCTTACGCCGTAACGTAAACTTTGGTTGCAATTTGTGCCTATGACACATTTCATATTTTCATATGCTGTTTTAAGTTCATTCGAGCCCTTTTCCTTGCCATTCTTTGGCTTGGTTCAGCGACGGAATGCCAAACTCCATATTAAATGTCACCAATTTAATGTTGTTTCTTATTTTTTAAATAAACCATACGCCGTCCAACGTAACAACACCCATGTTCTGAATCGAAAATAAATGCTTTTCATTTCGGCAAGAAACTAAATGGTAACAAATGCAACTATCATATCATTTTTACCTTTTAAATGTGTACCTATACATTACCCTCCTTCAAAAATGTCGTAACCCTTTTCGGAAATAAACTTTATTTTTCGCTGTGCCTTCTCATTGATTCCACCAATAGTTTTGTAAGCTATTTGTTGTTGGTTGGAGCTAAGAAAAGGCACAAGGACAGATGGTCTGGTGTCTGCCTGAAGTCCTGAATGTGGCATAACTACACATGTATCTATAAACACAGTGCATTTCAGCCATCCCATGCTTCAACACAATTCAAAGCAAATAATATAATAACCTTACCAGTTTTGATCATTTAAAATGTGAACAAAAACACCTCTCACTATACCACTGTAATCCACCGTTAATGTTAAAACACACTTACAACTCAATTATTTCTTCTCTCTTTGGAGCACTCGGGAGCCATCACGGAGTGCAGTCATGTGGCCTATATACTGGGCGGCGATAAGGAACATTGCCCCTCGTATCACCTTCCCCGTGGCCTTCGTAGTGGGAGCAGTGGGCTACCACCTGGAGTGGTTTATCAGGGGGACCCCTAAACCTAAAGAGCAAAAGAGCATCCTGGAGCAGAGGGAGGAGAGGAAGCTGCAGGAACAAGAGGGTTTGGACAGCACTCAGGTGGTTAGCCTGAACGAGAAACTAGAGTTCACACCTAGAGCTGCTCTGAACAGGAACCGTCCTCAAGAGAGCTAACCCGTGTTTGTGAGAGACTTGCGTTTACCCTTTCCAAGAAGGAAGATTGGAGGTGGAACCAGAGGGCCCATACTTCTCATTTACCTCAGCCATACACATGCTCTCCTGTAACAGCTTGATGTGTACATTTCTATTTGTGGAGCTAGATGGTAACTGAAAAACATATATTTGCTTTTTAATCAAGTCAAATATAGCTTTTATGTCACCGTCTTCTTGATGCATGCCTGATCGTGCTTTGAGCAATAACTCAACTTAGACACTATAATTCATATACTTTACGTATGAACCTTCTTGATATCCCAGTATTCTGTTTATTTATGTTTAGTTGTGGTCCCATGACACGAATGTAAATGGGTCCCTGCTGTTAAATGACATACATGATACAAGAGTTGACAAAGATGGAATATCTTTAATGTTCCAAGCCTGTCAGAATGTTTATCCTTTTAATACTTTCTGTATGTGTAGAAAGGACTTATTGTGAACATAAAAGTGGAGGAAGCGAAGAGAGACAGCTCTTAGTTCATGTTTTTCTCAAGTAATGTTTCGATGATATGCGACACAATAAGCCAGCAGTGTGGGGGGTCTCTCAGGAAGTTTAAGCTGCTTAGTCCTGTTGTTTGGAAAATCTACACAATACTTTCATTCTAAAAAGTCTGGATGCTCTGGTGTTACTGGAACACATGATGATCAATAAAGGAAATGTGCTTGTACGCTTGCTACTGTATACTCACGTTTCAGTAAATGTTCTCTCAAGAATCTTCTTAGTCACCAGTTCCAGCTAATGATGTCTTCCGATAAAGTTACATAATAAAAGTTTCAGTTTCTGTCACTTGTGTTTCAGCAGCATTGTTTCCCATTCAGGTCCGGACAAATATCTGGTCCCGCTTGATTGCGAAACAATACCTTTGCCAAAGAGATAACGTGACATCAAAGTCAAAGGAAGGAAGTAATGACTTTGCTTATTTATCCACAAGGAGGAAATTATTTGAGTGGTAACACTGGAGACAAAGCAATGATAAATAGGGAAATGGCTAACTCATTCACCTTTTGGAATTTGACCTGTGGACAATTCTGCCTCTGGTATGATTAGAAATTATAAAAGAAAAGACCAACCCATTCCCAAAGTCTGGACTTTTCCAGCTGTTGTCTTGGCAACAAGTCCTTAATTAAGCCCACAACCCCATAGTGCGGGCTTATTCACAGACAATTATTCCAGGAGACAAACATTTCTGCTTCAGAAAAAAAAAACTATTTTCCACTTTCACAGTCAAATCTTTTAACCAACTCCAGTCCAGATCAGATCATATCTTTATAAAATTGGAAATTTTTAGAATTCAAAATCTTTAAGTGTGTTTACCTAATGCCTCTTTTATAACACAAAGGCACAACATTCATGATTCCAGTCTGAGATGTGTCAATGGTTAGCAACAACATAGTAGAAAATAGCATTTATTTGCCCCATAAGGCAAACATGAAAAATGGGTCAACTAAAAACACAACTTTATTCAACCCTTATATAATAAAATGCATAATTGTATGCTATAATAGCCATGGGATCATTATTGTGTTGCCAATGGGGACATTTGTGGTCTTCCGCAAGTAAAGAAAAAAGACTGCTAACCTCGCCCACCTCATGTTAGTGAATGTTTCCAACTCTGTACTCATGTTGACTTTATTTCAAAAATAAGGGCACGCTGTTCCATGAGAAGATCACCAATTCATCCTTTTATTTACAGCCCGGTATGCTTGCTGATAATGAACAGGGTTACCCTGATAACAGATTTAGTTCATTAAAGCCACGTTTAAATAACAGGGACTACTAAAGGTGAATCTACTTGTGTGATCTACTTTGATTAATCTTTAGTGGGACAACTATAACAGTGAGCATCGATGCAGTGACTGTCACAGTTTATGTATAGCCCATATTGGTGCATTTGATAAACATCTTATCACTAAAGTGCCAGATGTACAATAACATAATAAGTTATGGGGGAAAACATTCCTCTCTACAGAACAAGGCTAACATTCACTTAGTCCTTTTAAGGGCAGCTTTCTTTATCTCACAATCTATTAGTAATGTCACAGATTTATATAATACATTGACAAAAACTGTGATTCATCTTCAAAACCTGATGAATTTTCCTGTGAAGATTAAAATACGGTATGCTTTTTTTGAAATGTTATAGAGCTCAAAGAATATTTAGTTATTTTGTTGTCAACTTCAGCACTTCAGTGTCATGTACCCGACATGACCTTTGATCTCCCTGTGTCGGCAGTAGGAGGGAAAAGTTTCCACAGATTGAATCAAGAGATCTTTATTATCACTATTATGAAAACACCAGTAGTGATGTGGTCGGGAACAAAGCGTTTAATAAGAATCCTCCATTGATTGAAGATGGTGAAGTAACTGGTGTGGTAAAACAGAAAGAGAACTTTATAAAGCTTTTAAAATCCGACATAGTAACTTGCAAGCACTTAGAGAGATGTCTAACAATTATTTTGTTGTTGCTTTTACTCCAGTCCCGCGGCCTTTCCTGCATTAAATAATGAAACAGAAAGGTCCATCTTTCCCGAGCCCAAGGAGCTCTCTTAATGGATGATAACCTTATCATTGTGCCAGGATAATTTCTGCTGTGTTAGCCGGCCAGTTAGTGAAAGGGAAAAGACCATGAGGTTCAGATTTACATTGGCACCCGAGTGGAGAAAGCTTTGCTATCCGCAGTCATCAGCTTGTTCTCCCCTCTTAAGTTTACTATCAGACGAATGACCCGCTCCAATCCTGTGACCCTGCTTGTGCATGCTCAGAAAGGCAATTACTTCAAGCTGTTGGAAGTTTCCACATGAGAGTTAGGATGAGGAGGTGGAGGGGCAGCTAAATGATGTCAAGAGAGTTGACAAGGCGTGTGTGTACTCCTGGGAAAAATCAGAGGACATGTCGCCTGTCTAACAATGGCCCAGAACTGGACAGTACTGTGGGAACGGAGCATCGAGGCTCCTGGGAAAGGAGGAGGGGGATGTTGGAGGTGCTCCATTGTTCTTGCCGGGTGATGGGGATAATGGGTGCGGGTGATGCTGGCTGTTCCTTTTTTTTTGTTTTTTAAGGAGGTCCAATCCAACATCCTGAGTGGACAGGCCGGAGACGAAGTTCCCTTTGCTGCAGGAACAATAGATGCTGTCTGCATGCTGGAAGGGCACCACATCCCATATTAAACAACCACACACACACACACACACACACATACACAGCATCCAGGAATACAGGTAGTGTATATCAAACTCAAACACAGACAAGAAGCGGTAACGTAAACATTTGAAGAGGCTCACACTTGTAGGGGAAGTCGAGGATAAAACATATGGATGTAATTTTCCACATTGAGATTTTAAGAATGAAAAATGTGCTCTAAACTCTCTGACAGCCAGGATGCATACAGTAATATACTGTTGTTGGACTGACTAAACAGACTGAGACCCAGTGCGTCTCAATAATCTAATACAAACATACTTTTTGGTTTTGATTTTTTAAATCTCCAATAAGATCCTGATCAGAAATGTTTTCCATTCTGTATAACTCTTTCCAAAAATTCTATTGAAGTTGAGGATTATCCAAAGAAAATACCAGCTTACCAAGTCTGATCCATGTGTGGTATATATGTGTTTTGTAGGTGTTCTTTTCGAATCATTTAGTCTGAACTACTAGTTTTAAGTCTGCCTCGATACAGCCGTATGTTACATTTTGTAAATGACATTCCGATTTAGAGTAAAATTGACGGTAAAGGGGGTGGCTACTTTGCGATTGTGGCTGCAATGTTATGCCGTATTTGGGTCATCAGTGTTTTCATCTTAACGTTTAGGTTATAAGGTGTGATAAGGTTTACCACTTCCACAATTTGTTTTCGGTTGACGACAGGTAATTGTAACATTTTGGTTCTGCAAAAAAACGTTTTTCATCATTCAGTTGAACTTTGCACACTACTCGTGTTAGTTCTTGTCCAAAACAACACCACGTGACTATGTCCACTTCTCATATACAGTCTATAGGTGCCATCAGTCCTAACGTCTACCTGTAGTTGAGCTTGACATCAAATAGCCCAAGAGAGACCACCAAATAAACATATACAAGCAAGCCTTCTGCATGCCCCACCCCAACTCATACACACACACTTTCTGAGAGCTATAAGTGGTACCAGCCCTTTCTAATTGACTCCAGGCTCACAGCGGGCACTTTGCCCATTTCCCTCATCCTTCACTAGCCTTTGATGGAGCGGCCTCGACTGTGGGTCAACATAGCACCGGGGAACTGGGACAAAACAATGCAACAATGCCCACTGCAGCCCAATTGTCAGGGTGAACAATCCCAAGCGACCGACCCTGCATAAAAACAATACAGGAACAGGAAACTGATAGAGACCCACTTCCTATCCAAAAGTTAAATTTAGTAACGGCTCAAAGCATTTTCTCTTGTTTTGTTGAGCAGCACAAATGCCCAAATTAAGGACTGGCGTGCTTGGACGGAATATTGTTATGGATACAGAGAATGCGGTGTGACGGTATTCTGTGTATGGGTGAAACAAAGAGAGTTGGCACACAACGCATTGTCCTTCGCAAATACACACGTAAAGAAATCCCTGAAAAGTGGTCTTTGCTTTGCAAGGTTCATTATTTCCAATAAATAATTAGAATAAATAGATCTTGCACAACTTTGACAACCTTATTCCCCCTTGGTCTAACTATTGTTTCTGTTTTTCAGTGCCTTTAAGCACTGAGTATCTCTGGCAAGCTCATATTCAAGTCTTTTGGCAGTGCAGTGGGCAGAAAGTATGATAACAGAGCAACTCATTTTCAACAGGCCTGGCACATACTGTAAAGACCAGCACGGCTGAGTGTGCCTAATTTCAGGCTAATCCAGAATTCGCAAAGAGGTGGACCGTGAGGCGGATGTGGGTCTGGTTAGCGACAGCTAGCAGCTAGCGACAGCTAGCAGCAAGCGACCTGGGGCAGCACCCACCTGTAACTCAAAGCAGCTCACCACCCTATTAATAATGCATAATTGTATGCCACAATATAATAAAAAGGGGGGTGTTTGAATATTTGCATATATAAACTAAACCGTTTTTTTAGTACAAGGCATTAAACCTGTTTAGTTCTACTGTTAAATTGGGCCTTTAAAGGTGGGGTAGGTAATTTTGGAGAAACCAGCTCGAGTGCGCAAGAATTTGAAAATACACAGCCGGAAAAAATCTGCCACTTCCTTACAGAGCCCCTCCTCCAACACACACGAACGCGCACATGACCAATTAGGGCACGAGATAAGTTTGTGCACAGATGGAAGGCTGACAGGCAGGTAGGCCATCCAGTTATTTTAGCCGTGCCGGCTAAAATGATTGGTCGTGCTTTTTACAGTACTACTGTACGGCTTCCACAGATGACATTTTTTTATGGAATTTTTGTCAAAGCACTTAAGATATTTATTGCTATCGGGATGTTAAGAGCATTCCATGGAATATAACAAAAAGTGTATCTCGAGCCGGTTTCTCAAACTTACCTACCCCACCGTGGTCATTTGAGGAACTGCTGTAAGGATATCCTTAAGTAGAGTTGCCATGACTGTTGGCCTTTTTTAAGACCTGCTGGAGCCCGGAGTCTACTCGCCGGCACTTTGAACTTCTTTACAGTCTAAAAAGTTGTGCACTGTAGTGTGTGTGTGAACACTCACCATGAGATGTTGCCTTTCTTTAAATGTGGGACCAGCGTGAGGAAATGCATCAGCAGTGACTGCAACAATGTCAGGAAACGCAGTGAGAATAGCAGCTGATCCCAGAGGTTACATGTATAGCCGTTAAGGATGACCTGTCCCACAGAGTGGGGTCTTCCCAGCCAATAACTCCTACTTTTATGTGCACAGCTTTACACAAACAATTATATGCATTGTCAAGTTTTTGTGGGAATATCCTCAGAAAGTAGTGTGTGTCTGAATTGATTGTTTTGGGAAAAGTCTACATGTAAGAATCAAGTAACCAACCAATGACAACGGCTTGATTGTAAGGCTGCAGTTTCTCTGTTAGGTAGATATTAACTGTAGAGGAACAAACTGGAATGTTGTTGTGAAAGAATATCACAGGGCGTTGGGTTTCTTCAGTTTGATCGGCTATAAGGAAGATGAATGTAACAGAGAGCGCTGTTCCGCTGACGGCTTTGGTTGGCAGCAGACGGCCGATATGGGTCGCCCTGTGCAATCTGTTCCGTGACCCTCTGGCTTTTTGTGAAAACACGCACATGAACAATCGTGTGGACGCATGCACAAGTGCGCACACACTTGCACCAACACACTGAGATAACAAGAGTGTGAGGATATGCCAGCCAACTTTTTGTGAACATGCATTGAACTGGGCAGCTTCAGCAGGCTCTGTTTGGATTGTTCTCTCAAAAATATCTACCAATTTATCCTCCGCAGGGAGAGGCTGCCCACAATAAAAACACATTCCACTCTGAGGACAGATTATTATTATTAGATCGTAAAACATTTTTGATAAAACTGAAGCAATGAAAGGAAACGAAAGTGTTTTTAATTTTTGTTTTCAGCTGCTTGTTACCGCTCTCGTTTGGCCTCACACAGTTGAAGGGGTTTGTTTTATGAGAACCTGTCTCACTTGAATTTCCCATAAACCCTCTTTCCTGCTATAGATAACAGCTAATCGTCATGGAGAAAGTCCGGTGAATTGCTGGAAATGAGCACCGTATTCCAGAGTGCTTCGGCTGCAATTCTGAAAAGACATATGGCTGCATTCATTCAGAGCCTGGGCGAGCACCTTTGTTGAAGGTGCTGGATTTTATCAAATGCTTTCCACAAAAAACAGCTTTTAACAGTCAGGACTCCACAGGGGATATTAAATAGAGCCTGTATAAAGCGCTGTTCCACCTTGTATGAACTTTTACTGGCATATAATTGATGCCTTTCTCCCCCGTGCAGCAAGACCTACGGATTTGAAAACAGCCAATAAATCAGAGTTAATTCCCTCCATTTTCCCCCCTGAGAAGGTATTGCTCACGATAGCCTGTAGGACTCTTCCACTTCTACACACCTCCCTTCCTTCTATTCTTCCCAAAAAGCTTTATCTTGAGTGATTCAGAGCCTCCCTATTGTGGCAGTATTTGGATAGCAGTCGGACACAGAAGCAATACACTAGAGACATTCTCCCTCCACAGACATCTCATCCCTGTATTCAGAGGGGAAAAGGTAATAAAACCATCATGTATGGAACGCAGTCTCTGTATAAAATCCATAGTATGTTTCGCAAAGGTTTCACACATTCAATGACATGGACTTTAACAAAGATGACTTGTGACTTCCCTTGGACTTTGCCTTTTTACTTGAAAATGATAACTATAAGCCGAAAGATGAAATGAATGTTCCAAACATTTATTAATTTCCTTTCATACACTGAATCCACCAATCTACTCCTATTCATTCTCAGAAAATTGACAATTCCCTCCCCAGATCCACTTAGTTTGATCCAATCCAACAGGATCCACACAATTTGCAGGAGTAAACCATGAAGAAACCAAAAGACAATTTTGTTTGCATACGGTGCATGAGGTGAGCAGCAAAAAAGGAAATTGCAAATTGGCATTACATTTGATAAAGAGCGCATAATAACTTGATTAAGACATCAAGGTTTAAGACTTAGGACTTGATTTTTGAACAGGAATAGTACGGTACTGTTTGTGTTATATCGATATGAAAACTATAACAATAAATGACAATGTCATCATTCATTTAAAGTACTTGAAACTTTATTTTAAACAAAATAATAAATATTAACACTGGTATTTCTTCATCATTCTTTCAACATAAAAAATGTAATACAGTTTGCACATAATTAATTATTCAGTCATTTCCATTTATTAAAGATCTGTCCATTTGTGTACCGCTTTCAGTCCATTCCGTGTGCAATCGCTAATGCATCTTAACTCTCTCAAGCTCTGGAAAAAGTTTGGATTATCCGACTTGTGGCTTTTCTTTCCTCCATTATTCAGCTCCCATAAACTACAATGCAGTGGTCCTATGTGCCTCTTTCTTTATAGCTAAAATACTATGGTTATAAGTCATTAACAATCCCAGAATTCCTTTGGTTTCATTCTCTTTACCAACAACTTCCCCAGTTCATATCCCCAACTTGAGGGACCGACAGGGTGAAAGGGGAAAAGTGCATTGTGTGTGTGCATGCATGCATGCCTGCATCCACGTAGCCATTATCCTCCTGGGAGTAGAGCGTGATCCAGAGAGCATACATTCCATAGTGGGGACAGAACCATGGGAGACAGAGGAGGAGGAGGAGGGGAGGAGGGGGGGGGGGGGGGTCTTAAAGTACTCTAGGGGTTGCAGTGCAAATCTCAGAGGAATACGCTTAAATCTGTTTCATCTTAATACTCCCTCAAACACGATCATGGAATATCCCCAGCCCATCGGCAGACCCCCCATTGCACAGTTTTTTTCCACTGTAGCATTCAGCCCTAAAAGCCCTAAAATGAGACATTGTGGCATCTTATGACTGCAGTCTTCTCTCATAGTGTAGTGTCCTTTTGTTTGCCTTGGGGAGTGAATCTTGTGTTTTGAATAGTTCCATTTATCTGGTAAATCGCTGTTTGCTTTCCTGCCTCCGAGGCATCAGGATCACAGTGCAGTAGCTGTTCTTCGTTTCTCCTTCGTTTAAGCTCTCACAGTGCACTCCTGACAGTCAAGTGTCATGTGCAGGATTACATTTATCTAAAAAAAAAAAAAAAACTGGAAGACTAAACAAAGCTTTCATGGTGATAAACAATACATTACCACATCTGACTGCCTCACACATAATGCTTCTGCTTTGAGTGTGCTTTATGGGCAGGCTTACTGTTTTTCCCATTGTGATGTGCATGTTTTTTATAATGGACTCTGGGGTTATGGGATGTCCTCATAGCCCCCATGCAGTTCACGTAACTGGGAAGAAGGTCATTCATATTCTCCCTAGATCCCCAGTTCACCTCTATAGCCAGATCCCCGTAGCTTTCACAGGGGTTTGGGTAGCATGTGGCTTCTCCCTGGACGGGTAAGTTGACATGACCCCCTGCATTGTACGGCTCTGATGGCTCCGTTGGGAGTTCTGGAGCCTCCTGTTGGGCCGGTACCTGCTCTGCCCGAGGTAGGCAGTCTTGTTGCTCGGCATGGTAGCGTTTCTCCAGCCGATGGGAGATGGCAAGCTGAAGGAGGTGGAGGAGCTCTATGATGTTGAGTAGCAAAGAGATGGCAGCGATCACCTGAGTGTAGATGGTGAAGATGGTCTTCTCCGTGGGTCGAGAAACGAAGCAGTCCACCGTGTGAGGACAGGGGGACGCCGTGCACTTGAACTTCGCTGCAATGATGAAACCATCGTAAATAAACCACAGCCCGAGGATGAAGCCAACTTCTAAGAGGACTTTTAGCAGGATGCTGAATGCGTATGCACACAGCAACCTGCCTTTCAGTTTAGGAGCCTCCGGTGGAGCTTTTTCCGCTCTTCCACGTTTCCCACCACCCTCTTGTTTCTCCTTCTCTTGTGCATTGTCTTTAGTCGCACTTGTATTGCCCCATTTGACTTCTATTTTTCCTTTCTTGCGTCCTCCACTACCTTCTTCCGCCTCCTTCGCATCCTCCTCTTTTCTCTTGGCATTCCCAGCCCTTATAGCCACATATCCAAAGTAGAAGATGGTCGGCGTGGACACGAAGATGACTTGGAGGACAAAGTAGCGAAAGTGGGAGATGGGGAAGGCTTTGTCGTAGCACACGGCAGGGCAGCCAGGTTGTTTCGTGTTGCAGACAAAGTCGGCTTGCTCGTCGTCCCAAGCAGACTCTGCAGCGGCTCCCAGCACCAGCATGCGAAACAGGAAGAGGACAGTAAGCCAGACTCGGCCAACGCCTGTTGAATACTCCTGACCCTCCTCCAGTAGGTGCTCCAGGAAGGACCAGTCAGCTCTGGACATCCTCTGCTCCTAAGAGGGACAGTTTGTAGATAAGAGATAGGGAAAGATGAGAAAATGTTTGAGAAACTTTAGAGTTTACTCATGTATTCACTCCAATGGGAACTTCTAGTGCCTGGATCCCGTTATACCTTTCTGCTTGTGTTGCATTTGTTATGCAGGCCATATAGTTTCTCCACATACTCATTTACTGCTCCATAGCTGAACAGATTGGCTTGAATGTGCCAATTAACACCTAATTGCTACATTTTATTTCCACTATAAAGTCCTCAAGTGCTTTTCATTAACACGCAGCTTATGCGTAAGTGTTTAATGATTTCTATAAGCAACAAATGAGCTGCATTTCTCTAACCTTTACAGTATAATGGTGTATTTTTTATGGTGGAAAAATGTGTATCTGGCTGCAGCCCCCCTTATTAGTTATTCCATAAGCTCACACCGTTTTTAGGGTGGGCTAAATGTGAAAAACAAAGCCTACATACACTAAAAGGCAGTAAAACAAAAACACATGGTAAGTTGACATTTAATATGAAAGGAACTAGTGTACACGTTCACTCTTTAAACTGGAGTGAAGTGAAGCCCCTCAAACTTTAACATTATACCTCTTTTGTGTTACATTCACTTTTCTAATTGAATCTATGAATCAATTAACACTGCGACAAATCACAAAGTGGCTGATAAAAAGCATTGAGGGGAGATTAATGGAAATTGTTAACGATAAGTGACACAGTCAGTTATTGTCGGGAAGCTCAACGCACATACACACACACACACACACACACACACACACACGCATCTGAATAAACATCCTGTGTGTGGGAGAGTTGAGGCACTGCTGTGACACTTGTCTATTTGTTTAGACCTTTTTATGTTTTTTTGTTATTTCTTCCCCTCTGAGAAAAGAAAACTTACTAATAGTGAAAACACGAACCCTTCTGACAGGATGAGACAAGACAATGGCCTGTCAGGGATTCTGGCAAAAACATGATAACTGGGGAGTGCTTTGGTAGCCGAGTACGTGCCACAGATAAGCAAAGGTTTGATTCCCTTGTTGCATTTTATACCCCTCTCTCTCATAATTAAAAAAAAGTTCAAAGGTGATCCACCACTGAGAGTATTGGCCAAAGTAGTACTTTGTATTACATATGCTACAGAATACCAACATACTAGTAAGAGAGAACCATCAGAGAGAATCACAAGATGAAATAAGACAATTCATAAGTCCATAATCTACATATATAGTATAAAATACAGTAAAACACTATCATAAATGCCACAGACACACACGCTTTTCACTGGACTATTAATAAGTCTTCTTTATTGTACAGCCTTTTCTATTCTTATTATTAGATTACTTTTTTTGTTACCAGTACACATTTAAAAATATGTCTTGAACTAAGCAGGATAAATAAATAATAGTTAAAAAAAACTCAAGATTCACTGTAATTAGAAATTCACATTCAGAAGTTCATCCTGAAATTCATTAGATCGGAATACACAAAGTCATAAAATAATGACATAAAAGCAAAATTCACTTCCAATAGTCAATAACAAGTATTCTACGCACTAAAAGTCACTTATAATAAATACAATATTTGTTCTTTAAGGGGATTTAAAACAACATCATCATTCACTCTTTGACAACAAATTAAAGCTGCAGGGACATATTATGTCCTTTGTACACAATGAAAGTGTTTTTTTGTTCGACATAAACAATGCTAATCTGTGTTTTGTTCCTAATTGGTAAATGTTCTTACCTTTCTCTCTCGTGAAGCGGGGTTTGTCTCCTTATTGGCGTACTGGTCTCAGCACTCAGTGTACTTTAATGTCTCCCTCCGCTGCCTACGGTGGCAATAAGCAGTCGGTTTGTGTTATGCCTTCTTTAAAAAGAATCGATGTAATCGGAAAAAGTGCGGAGAACTTTCCCATGCCTGCTTCTTTGGCCCTTCCCTCGGGAACTTGGTCCAGGAAATGGGATGTATGAACCTAAAGTAGCTCTTTAGTTAACTGCGCTCGGGCGTTTTGGTTTTAACTTTGTTTAAAGACCACCAATTTGCATTAATTACAAGGGGAACATCGCATGACTTGGATTACTTTAAAGTGAGAGGAGGGGGGAGAAGCTTAAAAGTCAGGGAAGGAAGGGGCACTGGAAAGATTGAGATGGTCGTGTGTAAAGGGAAAAAGGAAACAGTCAGTATAGCAGTATTATAATTCAGTTCCATAATTACATTCAAATTAAGTAACTTGGTAAGGAAAAAAAGTACTTTGTAGCCTACTTGTCTTCTACAATCCATTGTAAATCAAATGGGTTTTATAGTTTTCTTTTCTATTTTAAAATATTGGTCATCTTAGCATATTCTTACAGTGCCACAATCAGATAATATTTTTTATTTTTCATAAGAATAGTTAAGATCAGATGACTAACGGGACTCTCTGTCATCCGTGTACACTCGTGTAATTTTCCATGACGCCACACAATGGCGCCATTCACCTTGTTTCCGAAAAACACATGACGCATACATGTCTGGAACGTGAATCTTAATTATTTGAGTCGATTTCTCGAGCTCGTAACTGTACATCAGTTACATTATCCGGTAAAACTCGAGTTTTTTTGCTCATCAGTATCATAGGTACAGTAATGCCACTGTCTTACATCAACCTCACATACTTCAAACTGTGACCACACTGTGGGGAAATTGTGTTTTTAGGTCAAGTTATTTTCTTTTCCAATCAAGTATTGAGTATTCACATTTCTGCCTCTATACACTTCCTTTTTTACTCTACTACATATATTTGACTGACTGGTATAGTTTCTTTATAGATTAAGATTTGGATACAAGTTAATATATTTGCAAAAAACTAGGTAATTGTAAAGGTGCTACTATACACAACTATATATAAAGCTTTTAAAATAAGCTCCATCCCTGCCAACTGCAACATTAAAGTGGGCTATACTTCTGAATTCATCATCAATAACATCCACTTATATACACTGACAGGGTCTATTGAGCATGGACACTTAAGGTACACGTTGTTGACAATATGTGCATGATTTTATTTTAGTACATTTTTATTTAATTGTAATTGTTATAGTCTGGTATAGCTAAATGTAATTATGCAAATAATCTGACTACTTATTCCCCTGCTGGAATACATTTGACAGTTAGGTAGCAGCTTAGTAATACTAAGAACTGTATTCAGTTTAACATAAGGTTTAGAATGTTTTAATTTCATAATGTATGTAATAATTTGTATGCGCATAATTAATCTACTGAATACAAATACAATTTAAGTTAAAGCACTACTCTGAGTCTGTGTGCTACTGTAGTTTTACGTGATCTATCTAATTACTGACACCACTAATGATATATAACGGTTTAAACTCTGCCCATGTAAAAAATAGAAAACTCTACTTTGTGGTATTATAGATAATGGTATTGAGCTCTGTTATGCAGCATTATAACCTTATTTTTGTGCTTATATAAAATTGAGCCTGTTTGCTTTCTTTCTTCAAGGCTCAGACAGCCTGAACACAGGTTTTGTTTGCGGACATGTGGCTATCCAAAACAAGTCTAATATGTTTCTACAATTCAGATTCTCTGTGTTCCCCCATTGAGTGTGTGTATGGAGACAGGGTAATGCAAAACCTTGAGGCACATATTGGCAGTATACTCAATACAAATGTGCTTCTTTTAAAAAAACATGCCTGAAAGATGCCAACAACTGTAAAAAAAAAAAAGGGGGGGGAAAAGGATTGCTGGAAGACTACATTTCTTATCTTAAATCAATTTCAAGGCTGCACACTGCTGTGAGCTTCAGACCCCCCAGCTTCCTTATGTCTATAATAAATTGAAACAGTGATTGATTGTAAACAAGTATCCTATTCAGATATCTTTACTGCATGATAACACAACTTTAAAAACAAGCCTTGCTAGTCATGATGCTGTTCAGCACCACATCACGTTGGTACAAATCAAGTAGCTAATGGCCACTTCAATTATCACATTGTGACACCGCACTCAGTCAAATTAAAGTATTTGCAGAGAAGCATTCTCCTCCCAATCAGTGCTGCACTATCATATGTGTCAATATGTAGATTATAGGAAGAGATAAGAGGCTGGGTCCGTCTCCGACAGAGCGAAGCTTTATAAAAAGTCCGGCAAATTGACAGTGAATCATTCTGACAGATCAGTTTCTTGCTCTTTCTTTGGTCATTACATCCGTAGATGAATAGCAAGAAGGGAAGTGAGGACAGCCGACAGAGAGTAATGGGACTGTTTCCATTCAGGAGATGTGTTATGCCTTCCTGTGTTCGCTGTGTTCCTTCCCACCGGAACAGTTATCAATGAAACTAATTGCCAACTTCATCTTCAATCAATTCCTCACCGCTGGACACATTTTAACATGCAATATTGTACTGTATGATTGATTCAGTCCTGAGCATACATCAGTGAACTCAATGATGCGGATATGAATGTGGGATTGGGACATTAATTCAGAGTGAGGTTAACAAATAATAAGTTTGAGGGTGAAAAATCCTTTAAAACTTGTTCTGTCATGTGTTAAAACCTATAAAACAGGTGTGCATCATCATGGGCTGAAATGAAACCAAGGCAAAAACAACAAAACAACCAGATCCATCTAATTGACAGCTGAGGTCCCTTTAGAAAAAAGAAAATGCTGACAGTCAACAAATCATGCCCATGTTTGTGATTTCTTTTTATATGAATAACAAATGGTGGAACTGTAATTCAACCATACATTACTTTGCTAAATGATTAACTGCAACCAACCTTGTAGGATAAACAGGCTAGAATATCTTATACCAAATCCCTCTTTATTTACTGACATACAAGTGTTCTGTAGATGTCAAACCTCATGATATGTTCAGTCATATCAGAAGAAAGGTTTAGGGATAGCAATTGCCCAGACCTTTGGTGCAGATTGAAATAACATGTATAGGAGGAATTGCCATAACGTTTTGTACAGACATTCATGGTCTCCAGAAGATGCATTCCAATGATTTTAGTGATGTATTTACTTCCTGGGGTCCTTCTTAATGCCATAATGAGGTTGACATTTGTGTTTTTCTGTAAAAAAAAGTATTGGCAGACTTGGCTTCCATGAGATTCATGGTTTCCACATGGTTTCCCATGTCCTGATGGCATTGTTGATCTCCTGATGTATCCTCTAGTGCAGGGGTCTCCAACACGTCAACAGCTCGCGGGCAGCTTTTCAGTAGCTCGCCGCTCGATTATCGATTATAGCGTAGTAAGGTTGCTTCTTGATTTTTCGGCAGCGGCTGGACAATAACGTTTTTTTATTTTTGAATTGTTTCTGTCACACGAATATCAAATTGGTCGGTGACGCAGAGATCAAGGAACAGACGTGACAGCGGCACAGCGAGTCGGCGACACCACACACGGAGCAGTCTGCTTTCTCCACCAACACCAGTCCAGAACCAACAGCAGAATGACCCGCTCTGAATCAGGCCCTGTCGCTGCGGCTCAGAGACACACAGGGAGGGATTTGTGTTTTTTGAAAAACACTCGTTATCGTCATGTCAGGTTTTTGGTGGATTTAATCAAGTCTTGGATTGCAGAGTATGAATGTCCTCTTGCTATTTTCAGTTGATAAATACTTGTGTAAAGTTTGTGAAGGCAGGAGGAAGAAAGCTTCCGCGATCACCGTCTCCTCTCCGTTCCTCCAAACCCCGCCCCCTCCCTGAAAATAATGGATAGTGACCCGATAGAAACTTTATTATTCACTTAATCACTGATTGAGATATGATGAAGCTAACTTCATCTTATACATTCATGGGATGTATGTAACAGTAAGACAGAGGATGTAAGTGTGCACCCACATGCACTATTTTTGTTTTTATAATGCTGTTGTAAATACTCCTGTTGTCTGCTGTGTTCAGACTTAAAGGTCCCATGTCATGGCCATTTCTACTGATCATAATTCCATTGTTGAGCTATACTAAAATAGATTTATATTGTGCAATTTTCCAAAATCGCATTGGTTTCTCATACAGCATCTCTGTATAGTATGTGTATTCACTCTCTGTCCTAAACGGCTTGTTGGAGCTCCTGCCCCCCCCCCCCCCGAGCCCAGTGGCCTTCTGCGAGACAGCGAGACACAGCGAAACCCAGCCCGAACACACACACACACCCGCAGCCTGGCTGGGAGTTTGTGTGTGTGCTCACACACGGACTCACAGCCTCGCTGCGTCCCGCCATCTCAGGGAGGAGAAATCGGCGGAGCTGCAGCTGAGAAAAGATTGAGTGTGTGTGTGTGTGTGAGGAAGTCCGCGGATTGGTCCTTTTGGACCAATCCACGGACTTAACGTAACGGCTCCGCGGACGTAACGTAACGGCTCCAGGGATTGGTCTATTTGGACCAATGGGTCCATTTGGGTATGGGCACGTCACTGTACCCAGGAAAACAATGGACAAAGAGAAATCTCCAACGAGGCGTTCTGGGGCAGCAGACAGGTATTTTCTGTGTTAGAGTTTTACTCGCTACAGGGTGTACTTTGAGGGTTTGTGACTTTGCAGACCGTTCCATGCATAAAAACCTTCATAACACACAAGGGGACGGGTAATAACCGGAAAAGCATGACATGGGACCTTTAAATCATGCGTGTGATGCCACATTCAAGACATACAGTGTCTTTTTTTTTAACAGAAGACCGTTGCTAGAAGCTGCAGATAGACTGCAGAAGTATTCGTTTTTTGTTTTTGAGGATGAAACAATTTCACACACAGATATAGGGAGGCTAGACCTATACACAGGGGTGCACATAACTGGTACGCAGGTACGCATGCGCGGCAACAATCTGAAATGCGTACCGTCACTTGTGTCACAAAGCGCATTTGCGTACCGACGTAAATGTGAAGCTTTTCCAGAAGGCGGTTAGTTCACCGGACGACAGAGTCG